CAATGAAAGTTTTATTCACTGGAGGTTGAACAAAACCTGGTGCCACATGACAACAAGGTAGTATCAAGTCTATTGATCCGTTTGATATCAAACGAGAGTAGAGCCTACATATAAGTGTGGATCGCAAGTGAAGTGTGAATTTTTTCTACGCAACCCAGGGCCATCCAAATTTTTGGGAGTGCAAAAGTAGGAAAGAAAGTGTTTATTTGAACAAAGAAATCACATTATTTCAATAACAAAAAATGTGGTATTATCAAGTTTTGTGACAATGGACAAGTCAGCTATCAAACATCAAGGGAAGTACATATCTGGAACATTGAAGATTGAGCCTCAGCCTACAGATAGTTTCAATATCGAATGTTATTCCAAAGCATTAAAAACTCATTTTTCAGAAGTACACGACTCTAACAGCAGTTTTACAAAATATTCTTTGCTGTCAATCCTCCTATTATTTACAGCGCTAGCAGAGTTCTTCCATCCATTCTTAAAGGAATCTGGTGTTCCACTAAGCCACCCCAAAGATTTCCAAAGTTTATCAATTGTTAAAAAAAACGATTTTTTTTTTTTTTTTTTTTTTTTTAAAAAAAAAAAAAAAAAATTTCAAAAAAAAAAAAAAAAAAAAAAACCTCGTAAATAAAAAGTTTAAGTTTGGAGACCGAGAAAGAGGTAAAACGGAAATAAAAACAAAAAGACATACGCTATTCCAAATCCTAAGAAAAACGTGCCAAGTCTTTCTGTGGCATAACGAAAGTGACGCACACCAGAAAAATTGGGAGAGAGGAGGACAAAAACAAATATTCACATTCCAATCATAAAAAACAACTCTCCTTCAAGAAACAGCTAATTACTGCCATCGGAAACATCTTTTAGACAAACCCACGTCGTGCCAAAACGTATATGAGGACTTTTCAAGAAATTTGTCAACCAGGTTCATTTTCAATATAGCTGTTGTTGGGGATCGATCTAAATACAAACAGAAAAGCCCACTACTGTGAACACCCCAGGGCGGCCTACACCGGGGGGGGCGAGTGGCAGCTGCCCTCCTTCCCTCTTCGAAGAAGGGCAGAGGGCAGGAATGTGCCCTGAAATGTAAGAAAAATATTACAGAATCTATTGATTATAGATGATCACTTTGACCGCACCGTTATTTAATTTCTATTAGAAAATATTAGAAAACCCAGATAAAAACACCAAAACCAGCACAAAAACACAAAGGTTGAAAAGGCTGCCTGTAGCAAGGTGGGTAAAAAAAGGGAGAGCGGCAAAGATAATAGTAGATAAACAAGAGACCTGTTCCCTGAAAAGTACTCCAGAAACCAAAGATGGATAAAACAGTATTTGCTATCATCGATGGTAGAAAAACTCAGCTGTATGGTCGTCACATATGCATGTTAACATTTTATTATGTTACTCCACCCTCCTTCCTTAATTAGGAATACGCGATCATGTTAGTAGAAAAATTCTACGATTTGCCCTCAGCACCAACACTGCCCCTCCTGCCCTAATCTTGTGCAGGCGTCCCTGGACCGAAGGAGTTCGTTTTCTCTCTAAGACTTTATCGATAATTTTCCTATAGGCACCCGGTACTGCTTTGACAACTACACCGGTCATTTGCTCGCATTATTCTGATTGGCCTATTTCCATCCACAACTGGGTATATATTTCCTATCGTGTTCTTTCGGAAACTTATTCGGATACTACTTAGATGAAAATGTTTGCTTTTTAGAATGGTGCAAATGTTTGCTTTTTAAAAGGCCATTTTCTACCAGCACTGTTGTAAATGTTTTGCAGCACTGCGAATCTTTATCAACAATAGAAGTTTCAAACAGAAGCAAGCATGACTAGAAATATTTTGGCCTTTTTGCAAATTTTGCCTTAAGTAACATTTTTGCAATCCACATTCGATTAGGGGCACATTTCAAAACCAAAGCAACCTTGTGAAAACTTATTTCCATTGTGAGTTTTACAGAGAATAGAGGCTTGTTTAGACATAAAACGAGCGACCATTTAACAAGATATTTGAGGGAAAGGAAAATATTCGTTTTCTTTTTTGCCGTCTTTAAGATGCAATTGGACTCTCTCCTCTTCCAAAAGAGCGATGACAACTGGCTACTCGACCAAAATTATTGGAAAGGAAAATAATTATGAAACTATGATGTACTATGGTATCCACCCATTAATTTTCTATTTTTCTTTTGCTTAGCGATTGTGTTTGCGATCTGGAATAGCTTTCACTGTTACGTTGAAAAGGACTTAGAAATGGAATCGAACGTTCTGGGACATGGATCTCGTGTTAATACGACAAACTCTTGCTCCATGTAAACGCTGAGCGTAGGATATAAGTAATAATCCGGGGGGGGAGGGGGGCATTGACAGGCTCAAACTGCCCATTCTGTTTTTCTTTATAAAAATGCCATAAAGCTTTATCTGATATTGTATGACTAATATTAAAATTATACCCTTATCCTTCTTGAACATCAGAAATAGTAATTAATTGAGTTGATAATAAGTCATGAATGGTAAAGAATATCTGAACATGGTGACAGAAAATCACAAACAAAAGCCAACAAATTTCAGATATCACTTGCACTCATCCACACATATTTTAATTTACAATTATAAAGCAGTCTAAAATCAACTACAGAAATTTTAAAAATTTACTCCAGTCACACCTTTTCTTTGCATTAGAGAAACCCAAAAGGTTGATGTTTCTGGTGTCATAAACATGTATTTCGTTTTACCAGTTTTTAAGTAACGTTTTGTTTCTGGATTTCCAGACGTTCAAAGCTTCAACTTGAAGGCTCGTCGATTTTTGATCCATGCTGATCTGAAGAATCCAACAACAGTTTGTGCAACAACCTTGTACCTTCGTCGTGCCGATTTTTGCTTCAGTTCAAATTTTCTCTTCGATTCATCCATTTCATCAACGACGTACTGTCTCCCATGATCATCCCCAATTCTTGATCGGACCTCTTCCTCGATTTGTACCTCTGATAGATAATCAAATTCTTCTCTGAATGACGATAGCCTCGAGCCCATTACTGAAAACGAGTCTTCAAATTCCATCTGTGTTACAATCGTCAAGTCGAGATCAGTCTCTTTTTCATCTTCAAATTCCGAGTTTGTTTCGCATTCGTCGTTATAATCCAAATCCGATATTGCGATTGACTCGAAACTTGATCCCCACGATGAATCTGATCCACAATCGGATTCTACATCAGAAATGTTGGGAACGTGCACTCAACAGTTACGTAATTGCTGACTTTGCAAGTAAGCTAATGACCTTCGTAATTAGTAGCTAGTCTAGGACGCGTAATTAGAGTAGATTGCTTGCTGCTCTATTGTTAGCTAATTAGAAGCTTCTAGAAAGTTCTAATGATCGCTGAGGTAGAACTTTTTAGCACGCGTCACGTAGAGTTTAGTTAGTTGCATGTTTCGCAGTGAACAAGTCGATAGAATCTCAAAACAACAGGTTATGGGCCCAGAACCAAACCACTGCACATGGCTGAAATTGGAGACAAATTCGAAATCGAAAAATTAGATAGGTCAAACTGGCCTACATGGAAGTTTCAAATGAAACATTTGTTGATGGCGAAAGATGTGTGGGATCACGTAGATGGAACGATTTCATTACCTGACGATAATACAGCATCTAGAGCTACATACGACAAGGCCAAGCAGATCCGTGTATCTTCGTGAAAGGATCTCTTGAAAGAAACAATTTGACAATTATTGCTGTTTACGTAGATGATTTAATCATCATATCCACTACTCAAGATGAAATGAAACAAATGAAAGTAAACCTGAGAAAGAATTTCAAGATGAAAGATTTGGGCAGCCTTCATTTCTGCCTTGGAGTCAGCGTTGAGCAAAGCGAAGAAGGAGTCAGTCTATCACAGAAGCAGTACATTGAAAAATTACTGAAGCGCTATGGACTTCAAGATGCTAATCCAGTGTGTACACCTCTTGATCCAAATGTCAAACTTGTAGCAGATGATGGAAACAGTAAACCTGTTGATAACGTTCAATATCAGTCTATGATAGGGAGTTTACTCTATGCTGCCATCGCAACAAGGCCTGATATCGCTCAAGCAGTGGGAGCTCTTTCTCAATTCAATTCAGCACCAACAGAAGCGCATCTTACTGCTGTAAAACGGGTATTTCGTTATCTGAAAGGAACAATCAATCTTTCGCTGGTTTACAAGAAATCAGAAAGCAAAGAAGTTACGGGATTTAGTGATGCTAGTTGGGCTGACGATATGCAGAATCGCCACTCAACCACTGGAAATGTCTTCATGATGGCAGGAGGTGCGATTAGCTGGCTTAGTCAAAAACAATCAACAGTGGCTCTTTCAACCGTTGAGGCAGAGTACATTGCCTTGAGTAAAGCTGCCCAAGAGGTCGTATGGCTGAAGCAACTGTTTAGAGAAATAGGAGACAATGTGCAACCTATAACCATCATGGAAGACAACCAAGGAGCAATTTCGATGACAAAAAATCCAGTCGGACACAAACGGACGAAACACATCGACATAAGGTATCATTTTGTTCGAGAACAAGTAGAGAAAGGGACTCTGCTACTAAAATATTGCAACACGAAAGAAATGCTGGCTGACTTACTTACTAAATCACTGAACAGAGGTCAATTTGAGTACCTACGCTGCAAGCTCGGAATGCAATAAAACCTGAAAAGAAACTGTTGATTGAGTGGGAGTGTTGGGAACGTGCACTCAACAGTTACGTAATTGCTGACTTTGCAAGTAAGCTAATGACCTTCGTAATTAGTAGCTAGTCTAGGACGCGTAATTAGAGTAGATTGCTTGCTGCTCTATTGTTAGCTAATTAGAAGCTTCTAGAAAGTTCTAATGATCGCTGAGGTAGAACTTTTTAGCACGCGTCACGTAGAGTTTAGTTAGTTGCATGTTTCGCAGTGAACAAGTCGATAGAATCTCAAAACAACAAGAAAAATCAATGGAAGAGCAATCTGATTCAAAATCCGATAGTACAGAGACGATTGTCAAATCTGATTCTGGATCTGGGAAAAAATCAGAGGCAGATTCGAATTCATAAGAATCTTTATCAATCTGTCCTTGGTTGATCATGGTTACGTCGTGGACCAGTGAATCGGATGTTACAGTATTGGTGGCTGAAAATATGTTGTAGCTTTTCGGCACCTGAAAAAAACAATGAAAATCATCATCAGAATCAATTCAGTTTGCGGCTGCTTCTTCATTTAGCCCAAGGATTCAATTACCAGGATATGTGCAACATACATAAAAACAAACTCTACTTTATTTTAAAATAATTGATAACAGAGTGCAGAAGTAAAAAATTGAGAATAAGAAATGAAAATATATACTTGCAGAAAACAAAATTTGACAAGAATAGGTTGAAATACTAACTTACTATCTTTGCCTGGCATCCTCTTGGTGTCGATGTTGCAAATGGTTGGGAAATATTTAGACAAGGCTTGATATCTGAAAGGAAAGATTTGAAAGCTACTTTTAGAAGACCTTACTAGGCGTGAAAGCACTTTTATCAATTTCTTTGAGTTACAAAGATGTCAGTCCTTGTTATTCATTCTTTATACATCTTCCTTTAAATGATTTTTAGTCAGCGTATAAAACAAAGCGAGATTACAAATGCGTGAGTACTCGTCAGTACAGTGGTCGCATATTTAAGTATCATCATATAGCCATTCTAATAATTTTACAACCCTTAACTTGATAATCAATTTCTTTAACTCTTTTGCTTCAGAACACCAACAATTATTTTCAATACTTCACTCTCACCTGCAACTGTCTTTGTTCTCTTTGACCTTGTAGAAGAATTCAGTCTTTGCTTATTCTTCCAATTTCTTGTCAACGAACACTTTGTGCATTTTGCTGTGTATTCTAAAAAGCAATTTCAAACATAGAAATAAATTTAACTTACTTTTTAGGATCGTCAGATTTACTTTTAATTTTGCTTTGTTTAAATTTATTCATGGCTCCCTGGTAAAAGGTTAACCAAAAGAACAGACAAATAAATATTCTAAACATCATTAGATCTTAGCATCACCAGTAGACGGTATCATTTGGATCTTAAAAAAGCTTAGAGAATTAAAAATCACCTACAGATCATACTTTTACAAATATAACAAAACTGCCAGCAACAACATGGAAAGTAAAAGCTTAAAAACTCACCATCTTCAACACTGCATTTGGAAAAACAAATTCCCATCTTGATTTCGATTTACGTTCACAAGATTGAAGGTGTTTCTTACAATGAATGTTTAAATGAATTCCAAAGGTTTGGAAAATGAAAACTTTGTTTTCCTTTCGAAGATAACAGCAGCCAGTATTACCTCAGATGCTGAGTCGATCTGAAATTCTTCTTTAATAACCGATGAATTGCCTTTTATATACAAAGAGCGTAACCAATAAATTTGACGTCACAATCTCAGATATGATCGCTGACGTAACAATTGAAAACTTGCACAGTAAAAAGAGATGTGTAGCAAATTAAGAAATTTGCATTGAAAGCAAATTTGAATTAATTTTACATTACCAGAAACAACTTTGGTCTGTTTGGTCTTGAAAAACACAAGCGGTACGGTGCTTCAAGGCAACGTATTACGATGTGTAGAATCAAGAACTTCTAATTTCCAAGATGGCAAGAGTGAAAACTGTTTTTTTGAACATGCTTTAACGAGCGTTTTTCCAGAAAAATGGAAATTTACAAGGAGAAAAAAAAAGATGGTTTTTTTGGGAAGTTGGTTATTGGTAATAAAGACAATGAAACTTCTCAATAAGTTATTGCAAATCGATGCAGCATTGATAGAGAAGATAAGGACAAAGAGTGTAACAATCTTTTATACCAGAGAAGTGAAGTTTCCTGGAAAAATTATTTTGGGAAGAAGATTTTGAGATGTTGTTTGTAGTTGTTAAAATATAAAAAAACGGGCTTCCAGTAAAATAACAAACAGAGCGTTGACACCTCAAGGGGATCTGTTATTGAAGGTCTTGGATAATAATGAAAGTTTTGATTGAAAAAAACAAGTGCCACTATTAATTATGTATAATTTGTAACAAGCAAAGTAATAAACTTTGTGAAATGTTGGTATGCTCGATTTTATTTATTTAAGTTCGTTGAACGTTTCTCTCTTCACAAAAAGGGGATGGAGTTCGTGGGTGACGTTCATAAAAACATAGAAAACTTGAATATGGCCAACCCTTAGACGATATCCTTTGCATTGCATATCATGGCAATTGAAAAATTGTCAAAGAACAAAAAGTTCAAACTGTTAATTGATTAATTTTCATATGCCGTGAAGCTAAAATTGTTCCAGTTGAAAGCCAGTTCCATTGGAAAAATGCTTTATGCCTTTAGAAGGCCTACGGCCTAGCCTTCTCATTTTGCGCTTATTTCAGGATCTACAAAATTAATTCTGATATAAAGACCCAAATTGTATGTTTTATTTTAAAGTTTTAAAGCTGAAATTGCGAGTCAACGAATACACGCAACTCTGCTGTGTTCCACTTCAAGATCAACCTTGCCTATCACAACAACCAAAAATTCAGCTACCGTTGAATTGGATTGGTTGAGACTAGCCCCAAAGGAATGCAGATTTGAGCAGAATTGGCCAATCAGAAGGCAGTCATCAATTGAATAGCCAAGTCATGACAGGCATTTGATTGGTTCATTCTCTACTAGATTTGGGGCTAGCCCCAAAAGCTCGGGAGATGGTTTCTGATACGCCTGTTTGTCTAGTTTTCAAAAGAACCGCGGGCAGTCGGACCTAAACAAACTAAGATTGGACGGACGGTGAGACTCGAAGCAACGAAATTAGTGAACAGTGCTAAATTAATAATGGACGTTGATTTTATTTACGTTTATAAATCTAAAACTTATTTTCGGAAAACTTTGGTGGGGCTGAGCCCCACTAGCCCCAACACGCGAGCCGCCACTGATTAATTCAAGTTTTAAAATTGAATTCATTACTTTATGAGGCCCCATAGACCTCGGCGCATTCCTTGGAAATTAAGCAACTAAAGGATTTGTCAAATCATTAATTTCTTTATATCTTTCCTTTACTCTTTTTATTTGCTTGAAAATACATTTTTGCAAAAAAGTGGGTGGGGGGGGGGGCTGAAGCCTCTAGCTCTTCACCTGGCGCCGCCTATGTTTCATCGGTCGATCTCGAATGGAGAAAGTTCTTGACAAGTCATGGGAAATGTACTGCGCTTCTTTAAGCATTACTTTTAAACATTGTTTAAAAAATTCTCTTTCGTATCCCGTTTTTAGAAGCAATTTGATGGAATGATTATCATAGTATCCCCATTACGATGAATGTAGTTGAAAATACTTGCATTTTCATACAAAACTTTGTTTCTTCTGTATTGCGTCGCCTCTCATTCTTTTTAGGACTGCCTTTTACCAAATAACTATTTTCTTTTCAACTTATATCTTTCTTGTGCTTCTCTTTGAGCTACAGTTCAGAAGGTCATTTGTGTCAAAACTTCAATTCAAATTTTCTCAGATTAACTTAGCTTTCTACCAACAGCCTTAAATTTTCCGATTGTCCTCAAATTTTCCGACTGGATGAAAGATTCGGGGTGTCACACCCGCCACAACCCCAACAACCCCCACAACCCCCACACCCGATTTAAATCGTACATTCGCGGCCAGACCTGTTGGGACTTCTCAATAACAAAAGGAAAACATGGCGTCGCACAAACATTTCCAGTTCGTGAAGAAGAGGATAGTTTTGTTTTGTTTTAATCAATTTGCAATGAAAAACAAAAACGGGCTACATTAAATCAGTATAAATGTCAAATAAGTCTTAGAGCGAACTTATTTTGAACTTACAGGGAGAGGTTTTGGTCACGCCTGGAGCAACCAGCGTTTTGCAGTCCCTTGAATCTTCCCTCGATATGCAAACGACTGACATCGGCTTCAGAATACACCATGTTCGGCATTAAATTCATTGTAAAATGTATTTTGCTACTAAAAAAATCAAAACAAACGTTCATTTACTTGCTGTAAACCTTCAGAATTGAATTTCAACATAACAAGCTTGATAATGACAAAAGAATGGGTGTACTTATGTTTGGTGCGATTGTACAATATGCACTTTTTCACATTGAAATGTTTAATCACTGGAGGTTGGGAAGACAAAACCTGGGGGCCACATGACAACAAAGGATAGTATCAAGTCTATTGATCCTGTTTGTTGATCAGAACAGAGTAGAGCCTAGGCATATTAGTGTGATTGCAAGTTGAAGTGTGAATTTTTCTACGCAGCCTAGGGCCATCCAAATTTTGGGAGTGCAAAAGTAGAAAGAAGTGTTTTTGAACAAAGAGATTACAGTATTTCAATAACAAAAATGTGGTATTATCAAAGTTTGTGACAACGGACAAGTCCAGCTGTCAAACAGCAAGGGAACACGATATCCTGGAACATTGAAGAGTGAGCTCAGCTACAGATAGTTTCATTATCGAATGTTATTCCAAAGCATCAAAAACTCAACATTTCAGAAGTACACAACTCTAACAGCAGTTTTACAACATGGCTCTTTGCTGTTAATCCTCGTATTAATTACAGCGCTAGCAGAGTTCTTCCATCCATTCTTAAGGATTGTGTTCCTAACACCCAAAATAGTTCCAAAGTTTATGAATTGTCGTGCCAGTCTTTTTTCTGGTTACGTAGGACGCACAACTGAAAGAATTGGGGGAGAGGGAGGATAAAACAACATGTTCCTTCCAACATAAGAAACAAAAGTGCTCCTTCAAGAGAAGAGGCTATTCTGCCATCGGACAACATCTTTTAGACAACCCACATCGTGCCAAAGACTATAATGACGACTTTTTCAGATATTTGTCAGAGCCAGGTCATTTTTCTACATGGCTGTTTTGGAATCGATCTACATACAAACGAAGAAGACCACTACTGTGTAAACTGAAGGAGTTCGTTTTGTCGCTTGGACTTTATTGACAATTTTCCTATAAGCACCCGGTACTGTTTTGACAACTACACCGGTCATTTGCTCGTGTTATTCTGATTGGCCTATTTCGTCCAACAATTGGTTATATATTTTCTATCGTGTTCTTTCGGAAATTTATTCTGATACTACTTAGACGAAAATGTTTGCTTTTTCCAAAGCCATTTTCTACCAGCACTGCTATAAATGTTTTGCAGCACTGTGAATCTATATCAACAATAGAAGTTTCAAACAGAAGCAAACGTGACTAGAAATATTTTTGCGAAATATGGTTCCAATTTTGCCTTTAGTAACGTTTTTGCAATCCACATTCGATTAGGGGCACATTTCAAAACGAAAGCAGCCTTGTGAAAAAATTAATTTCCATAAAAGACTTCTTTTTTATGTAAAAGGAAAGTTTGTGAGTTTTACAGAGAATAGAGGCTTGTTTAGACATAAAACGAGCGACCATTTAACAAGATATTCTAGGAAAAGGCAAATATTCGTTTTCTTTTTCGCCGTCTTTATGATGCAATTGGACTCTCTCCTCTTCCAAAAGAGCGATGACAACTGGCTAGTCGACCAAAATTATTGGAAAGGAAAATAATTATGAAACTATGATGTGCTATGGTATCCGCTAATTAATTTTCTATTTTTCTTTTGCTTAGCGATCGTGTTTGCGATCTGAAATAGCTTTCACTGTTAAGTTGAAAAGGACTTAGAAATGAAATCGAACGTTCTGGGACATGGATCTCGTGTTCATACGACAAACTCTTACTCCATGTAAACGCAGAGCTTAGGATATAAGTCATAATCAAGGGGGGGAGGGGGTCATTGACAGGCTCATATTGCCCATCCTGTTTTTTTCCATAAAAAGACCATAAGGCTTTATCTGATATTGTATGAATAATATTAAAATGATATCCTTATCCTTCTCAAACATCAGAAATAATAATTAATTGAGTTGATAATAAGTTATGAATGCTGAGAGAAGAACATAAAAAAACAAGACAATTTCTGACATCACTTGCACTCATCCACACATATTTTAATTTACAATTATAAAGCCGTCCAAAATCAACTACAGAAATTTTAAAAACTAATTTCCATCACACCTTTTCTTTGCATGGGAGAAACCCAAAAGTTGATGTTTCTGGTGTTATAAACATGTATTTCGTTTTAACAGTCTTTAAGTAACGTTTTGTTTTTGGATTTCAAGGCGCTCAAAGCTTCAAATTGAAGGCTCGTCGACTTTTCATCCACGCTGATCTGAAGAATCCAACAACAGCTTGTGCAACCATCTTGTACCTCTGTCGTGCTGATTTTTCCTTCAGTTCAAATTTCCTCTTCGATTCATCCATTTCATCAACGACGTACTGTCTCCCATGATCATCCCCAATTATTGATCGCACCTCGTTCTCGATTTCTACCTCTGATAGATAATCAAATTCTTCTCTGAATGACGATAGCCTCGAGCCCATTACTCAAAATGAGTCTTCAAATTCCATCTGTGTTACAATCGTCAAGTCGAGATCAGTCTCTTCTTCATCTTCAAATTCTGAGTTTGTTTCGCATTTGTCGTTATAATCCAAATCCGATATTGCGATTGACTCGAAACTTGATCCCCACGATGAATCTGATCCACAATCGGATTCTACATCAGAAAAATCAATGGAAGAGCAATCTGATTCAAACTCCGATAGTACAGAGACGATTGTCAAATCTGATTCTGGATCTGGGAAAAAATCAGAGGCAGATTCGAGTTCATAAGAATCTTCATCAATCTGTCCTTGGTTGATCGTGGTTAGGTCGTGGACCAGTGAATCGGATGTTACAGTATTGGTGGCGGAAAATATGTTGCAGCTTTTCGGCACCTGAAAAAAAAATGAAAATCAGAATCAATTCAGTTTGCGTCTGCCTCTTCTTTTAGTATAAGGATTCAATTACCAGGATATGTGCAACATACATAAGAAACAAACTATACTTTATCTTAAAATAATTCATAACAGAGTGCAGAAGTAAGAAATTGAGAATAAGAAATGAAAATATAAGCTTTCAGAAAACAAAATTTGACAAGAATAGGTTGAAATAATCACTAACCATCTTTGTTTGGCATCCTCTTGGTGTCGATGTTGCAAATGGTTGGGAAATATCGAGACAAGGCTTGATATCTGAAAGGAAAGATTTGAAAGCTACTTTTAAAAGAATTCTTATGGCGTGTAGGCACTTTTATCAATTTCTTTGAGTTACAAAGATGTCAAACCTTGTTATTCATTCTTTATAGATCTTCCTTTAAATGATTTTGAGTTAGCGAAAATAACAAAGCGATATTACAAATGCGTGAGTACTCGTCAGTACAGTGATCACATATTTAAGTATCATCATATAGCCATTCTAATAATTTTACAAACCATGATTTTATAATCAATTTTTTTAACTCTTTTGCTTCAAAACACCAATAATTATTTTCAATACTTCACTCTCACCTGCAACTGTGTTGGTTCTCTTTGACCTTGTAGAAGAATTCAGTCTTTGCTTATTCTTCCAATTTCTTGTCAACGAACGCTTTGTGCATTTTGCTGTGCATTCTAAAAAGCAATTTCAAACATATAAACAAATTTAACTTACTTTTTAGTATCGTCAAATTTACTTTTTATTTTGCTTTGTTTAAATTTATTTACGGCTCCCTGCTAAAAGGTTAATTAAAAGGACAGACAAAAAATATTCTTAACATCATTAGATCTTAGCATCATCAGTAGACGGTATCATTTGGATCTTAAAAAAGCTTAGAAAATTAAAAAACACCTACAGATCATACTTTTACAAATATAACAAAACTGCCAGCAACAACATGGAAAGTAAAAGCTTTAAGAACTCACCATCTTCAACACTGCATTTGGAAAAACAAATTCCCATCTTGATTTCGATTAGCGTTCACAAGATTGAAGGTGTTTCTTACAATGAATGTTTAAATGATTTCCCAAGATTTGGAAAATGAAAACTTTGCTTTCCTTTCGAAGATAACAGCAGCCAGTATTACCTCAGATGCTGAATCGATCTGAAATTCTGCCTAAATAACCGATGAATCGCCTTTTATATACAAAGAGCGTAACCAATAAATTTGACGTCACAATCTCAGAAATGATCGCTGACGTAACAACAGAAAACTTGCATAGTAAAAAAGAGATGTGTAGCAAATTAAGAAATTTACAGTAAAAGCAAATTTGAATTAATTTTACATTACCAGAAACAACTTTACGAGACGATGCTTTGAAAAACACAAGCGGTACGGTGATTCAAGGCAAAGTAGCCTAAATTACGATGCGTAGAATCAGAAACTTCTAATTTCCAAGATGGCAAGAGTGAAAACTGTTTTTTCTGAACATGCTTTAACGAGCGTTTTTCCAGAAAAATGGAAATTTACAAGGAAAAAAAGGGAGAGATGGTTTTTTTAGGAAGTTGGTTATTGGTAATAAAGACAATGAAACTTCTCAATAAGTTATTGCAAGTTGCTACAGCATTGAGAAAGAAGATAAGGACAAAGAGTGTAGGAATCTTTTTCTCCAGAGAAGTGCAGTTTCCTGGAAAAATAATTTTGGGAAGAAGATTTTGAGATGTTGTGTGTAGTTGCTAAAATATAAAAAAAAACGGGCTTCCAGTAAAATAACAAACAGTAGCTTTGACACCTCAAACGGATCTGTTATTGAAGGTCTTGGATAATAATGAAAGTTTTGATTGAAAAAACAAGTGCCACTATTGATTATGTATAATTTGTAACAAGCAAAGTAATAAACTTTGTGAAATGTTGGTATGCTCGACTTTATTTATTTAAGTTCGTTGAACGTTTCTCTCTTCACAAAAAGGGGATGGAGTTCGTGGGTGACGTTCATAAAAACATAGACAACTTGAATATGGCCAACCCGTAGACGATATCCTTTGCATTGCATATCATGGCAATTGAAAAATTGTCAAAGAACAAAAAGTTCAAACTGTTAATTGATTAATTTTCATATGCCGTGAAGCTAAAATTGTTCAAGTTGAAAGCCTGCATTGGAAATATGCTTAATGCCTTTAGAAGGCCTACGGCCTAGCCTTCTCATTTTGCGCTTATTTCAATTCTGATATAAAGACCCAAATTGCATGTTTTATTTTAAAGTTTTAAAGTTGAAATTGCTAGTCAACGAATACACGCAACTCTGCTGTGTTCCACTTCAAGATCAACCTTGCCTATCACAACAACCAAAAATTCAGCTACCGTTGAATTGAATTGATTGAAACTAGCCCCAAAGGAATGCAGATTCGAGCAGAATTGGCCAATCAGAAGGCAGTCATCAATTGAATAGCCAAGTCATGACAGGCATTTGATTGGTTCATTCTCTACTAGATTTTGGGCTAGCCCCAAAAGCTCGGGAGATGGTTTCTGAAACGCGTGTCTGTCTAGTTTTCAAAAGAACCGCGGGCAGTGGGACCTAAACAAACTAGAGAATGGACAAACAGTGAAACTCGAAGCAACGAAATTAGTGAACAGTGCTAAATTAATAATGGACGTTGATTTTATTTACGCTTATAAATCTAAAACTTATTTTCGGAAAACTTCGGTGGGGCTGAGCCCCACTAGCCCCAGCACACGAGCCGCCACTGATTGATTCAAGTCTTAAAATTAAATTCATTACTTTATGAGGCCCCATAGACCTCGGCAAATTCCTTGGAAATTAAGCAACTAAAGGATTTGTCAAATTATTCTTTTCTTTATATCTTTCCTTTACTCTTTTTATTTGCTAAAAAATACATTTTTGCAAAAAAGTGGGTGGGGGGGCTGAAGCCTCTAGCTCTTCACCTGGCGCCGCCCATGTTTCATCGGTCGATCTCGAATGGAGAAAGTTCTTGACAAGTCATGGGAAATGTACTGCGCTTCTTTAAGCATTACTTTTAAACATTATTTAAAAAATTCTCTTTTGTATCCCGTTTTTAGAAGCAATTTGATGGAATGATTATCGTATCCCCATTACGACGAATGTAGTTGAAAATACTTGCATTTTCATACAAAACAACGTTTTTTCTGTATTGCGTCGCCTCTCATTCTTTTTAGGACTGCCTTTTACCAAATAACTATTTTCTTTTCAACTTATATCTTTCTTATGCTTCTCTTTGAGCTACGGTTCAGAAGGTCATTTGAGTCAAAACTTCAATTTTCACAAATAATTCAAATTTTCTCAAATAAACCTAGCTTTCTACCAACAGCTTCAAATTTTCCGATTGTCCTCAAATTTTCCGACTGGATGAAAGATTGGGGGTGTCACACCCCCCACAACCCCAACAACCCCCACAACCCCCCACACCCGATTTAAATTGTTCATTCGCGGCCAGACCTGTTGGGACTTCTCAATAACAAAAGGAAACCATGGCGTCGCACAAACATTTCCTGTTCGTGAAGAAGAGGGTAGTTTTGTTTTGTTATAATCAATTTGCAATGAAAAACAAAAACGGGCTACATTAAATCAGTATAAATGTCAAATAAGTCTTAGAGCGAACTTACTTTGAACTTACAGAGAGAGGTTTTGGTCACACCTGGAGCAACCAGCGTTTTGCAGTCCCTTGAATCTTCCCTCGATATGCAAAGACTGACATCGGCCTTAGAATACACCATGTTCGACAAACGTTCATTTACTTGCTGTAAACCTTCAGAATTGAATTTCACCATAACAAGCTTGATAATGACAAAAGAATGGATGTACTTATGTTTTGGTGCGATTGTACAATATGCACTTTTTCACAATGAAATGTTTTATCACTGGAGGGTTGGAAGACAAAACCTGGGGGCCACATGACAACAAAGGATAGTATCAAG